TGGAGGCCGGGATTGGCTTTGTTATGGCAGTGGCTCTAGGGATGGAGTTCAGGGCCTCATACATGCTAGCAAATGCTGAATCACTGAACTACATCTCCAGGTCTTTTTTTTTTTTTTATTTAAATACAAAGTTTTTGCCAAGTTGCCCAGACTGACCTTAAACTTACAATCCACCCACCTCAGCTTCCCAAGTAGCTGAGGTTACAGGTGTGCACCACCATGCCAAGCCTGAGATTGGCTTTTTTTTTTGGTTTTTCTCTGGTACCGGGAACCGAACTCATGGCCTTGCGCATGCCAGGCAGGCGCTTTTGCCGCTGAGCTAAATCCCCAGCCCCTTGAGATTGGCTTTTTAGGCCCAGGTCCATGGATGCAGAGTATCTAGCAGTCCAGTCCAAGCAGATCTTGACTTTGGCAGTGACGGCTCCATTGAGGAGCGGTGCTGGACTCAGACACAGGCAGACAGGGACTAGCCACCAAGGTCTCCTTTGACATCCCTGGAAGCTATGGTCTGTGTGCCCTTTATTGGTATTTTAAGGAATGTAGTTCATGAAAAGGCAGAGGTAACAGAGCCTTAGAGACTGATGAGGGTCTGATGGCACAGCACTCTTGTCTGTGTGGACGTAGCTTAATAAGAGCATTTAGCAGAGCTGGGAAGAAGGGGAGATGACAGATTACCTGTAATCTACCTAGATGAGTCTAATGGGGTGACTCTTGTCTCAGTTCACAAGAAGGAACATCTTTAAAAGGATTTCTGCTCATGAGGAGAACAGTGCACCAGGATTGATCTGGTGTCCTTCGTACACTCACTGTCCCCACAGACTGCACTTGCAGGGAGGTGGTGCTCAGTGATGGTTCTGAGCTAGGCCGTGAGTTCCAATTCTGTGTTACCATGTCTTTGTAAGGCTTGTGTCATGGCACAGGTCACTACTCTGTGCTTCAACACTCCCATTTTTAAAATGGGACGATAATGACACCAACCTCACGGAGGCATTATAAGCTTAAAGAAATGATATTTACAGAGATGGATACCTAGGAAGCACTGGATGATACAAATTGGGAGGATGATTGCGATTTGTCCAGCTAACACAAATCACCATAATTTGACTTTACATATGCCATTCTGTGGAAGTTGCTGTCATTAAGGTCCCTTCCTTATTCTCAAACACAGTAGCCTATTTTCATTCTTCACCCTACTTGCCCTCAGTTTTTCATCCTCTTGAACTTGGAGGAATTCTCTTCCCTTCACTTCTAAAACAATGCCCTCTTCTAGTTCTCTTCTCCTTTTCTGACCTTTTCCTCTCCTCCTTTTCCTTACCCTCTTCCCAATGCTCACACTAGAAGCTTTGGGTTCCCCAGAGCTCTGAGGTCTTGTTTTACTGTTTTATTTCTGTGAGGCCTTCCTGTGTAACCCCTTTCCTGCCCATGGTTGGGGAGCTTTGGTAGGACCGTTCCCCCATTGCTATTACTCCAGCTGTTTCAAATTCGAAATTATGCAAAGACAGTGGTGACTATTTTTGAGCACAAACTCTTAGAAAATTTTCTTGCCCTCCCATTGTCCATAGACTTTGTGAGAACAGATTAAAAGAAATGTCTTTTACAAACATTAAAGTCCCAAAGTTATATCTTCCCAATATCTTTATTCTGTGTCCTTCCTTTGTGTCACATAATGACCCATAGTACTGCAAAGGGTGGGTAGAAGGGTCCTTGTGCTTGGTCTTTTTTTCTTCTTGCAGCTTGTGGTCTGCAATTCTGATAAAGCAGGTGACCTATGGTTGCAGGGAAGGCTGTGAGTCTGTTCCCTTTGGTTATCTCCTTGCCATAATCCTACTGCCAGAGATGGCAACACTATTTCTTTTTTTTTGTTTGTTTGCTCCCTTGTCTTGCTGGACTCTCTTGATGCTTCCAAAGATAGGGAACCAGTGAGACACATTTTTGCACATTTTCAAGTACCTTTTCTTTTGTCCTTACAGTGGATAAATGTATAAATTTAGGTATAGAATGCTAAGGTAAAAAGTTGTTCATCACATTTTGAAGCAGTTGCTCAGTGCAGAAACAACAGTGGCGTTCATTGTGATGGAAAATGTCATTGCCTTTCTGCACTGCCATATTAGCAATCTGATAGCAATCTGACTTCTAGGACAGTCGGTGGGACTTGTCCCTCCCTCCTGGAAGCTCTGAACATCTTCTCTTTATCCCCTATCCCCCACATTATGGTATTCTGTAACTTTGTGTCATGTGCAAAGTGTGTGTGCATGTGTGTGTGTGTGTGTATGTATGAGATAATTGTGCTAGGAACTAAGTTGGTGATTTGAGAAAACTTTCATAAGTTTTTTTATTCTCCTTCCTATCTCTTCAATTCATTATTGCCTCTCCACTCTGAACTTCTTTTAATCACATGTTTGAAACCTTTTCTGTATGAAACCTTTAATGTTCTTTTCTTTTCCTGTTTATGTATACTCTTTTTGGTCCTGGTTATTTATTTGTTTGATATTCTGGAAGATTGTATTGACTTTATCTTCCAATCTTGTTTGACTTTGAAATTTAATGATCATAATTTCTAACTAAGATCCCTCTAATAGTTCATGTTTAAGCATCAGCTTGTTTTATAGATGTGACATCTTCACTTACTTCTCTAAGGATAATAGTTTTTTTTTAAGTCATCTGCTTCTTGGTTTGTTTGTGTTTCCTGAGTTCTCTGACCATTGCCTGCCTTATTCTCTCTCTCTCTCTCTCTCTCTCTCTCTCTCTCTCTCTCTCTCTCTCTCTCTCTCATGCTGAAGCTTTGCTGAAATTCCTGGTAAGATGTGCCTTGGTGCACTGCGTGGAGCATATCTGATGACATGACCATGGAGTGAACTTGAATTTTTATTGGGAGATCCCAAATGTCAATATGCAGGGTCTTCTTGGAGAGTTTCTCCAGGGAAGCATTCTCTCATCTCCTGGCCCTGTGAATTGAGACTTAGGGGTGATAGGAAGGTTTGTGTGCACTTTCTGTTATTCTAGGATCGGGAGAAGGGGCTCAGCTTCATGTTTCATCCCAGCACTCCTCTGAGCCTTTGCACTCAGTTTCTCTAGGAATAAATTGCTGCTCTTGTGGGCAGAGATGGAGTTATTGCCCGGGTGCCTTACCCCAGCCTACAGCCTTGTTCCTGCTGTCTTCCTGGCTGTCTTGTCCTTTATGTCCCGGGCCTCTCCTAGAAGTGACTTCCTGTTAGTAGGCCCCTGCAGTCCCCCTGCTGGTCCCTTCCTGCACTCTCCAAGCCACCAGCCTCCTTTGACTTTTCACCTTCCAAAACATTGTTCTCGTATCTTATTTGCTCTTGTCTCCTTTCTTCTTCCTTTTGGTGATACTGATATTTCTTTAATTTCTTCTCATTTTAATGGCAAGGGTGAGAGAATAAAGAGCTTAGTTTATGAAATGAACAGTTCGAGGAACAGTTTAGAGCTTAGTTGAGAAATGCTTAGTTTCTCCTGTTTAACTGGAAGTCACTGTGCAGTTTTCCAAAAAGTTTACAAAATATATTCAGGAATTAGCTTCGTTTTGCAAGGCAGGTGATTATTGCGAGTATTCGGGTGACCACTTATTGCTACGTGTTCACATGGTCTCCAAATACGGTCAGTCATTTGTCATGGATTGAATAAGCCTGTCTGTGCTGACAGGGTGGAATTGAGGGTCCTCAGTTTGCATTTAGCAGTCTTCCATTTAGTTCTGCCTCATTGCCACTTCACCTCGCTGTTTGATGGGAAATATTCTCTCCATAAACTCCAGTAAGATGTAATGGATTTCTGCAGTGGAAATATTGTTCAAGCCGCAAAACCAAATCACAGCAGGCAGTTTGTCTGGGGACCCTGTGTCTAGCAAAGCAGCCATTTAAAATGCCAGTCGTACAAAGCCACAAGCAGTCACAGCTAATTCCCTTTACAGGAGTTTTATTTGTATGTATGAGAGAATCACACCACCAAACAGGGCCATTGTTCTGCTGAGAGGGAAGCGTTCATTATCTTTGTCACCTTGCGCTTTGGAGTATCCTTATTCACTGGACTGCTTCTTTCGGTTAGAAAATGGTGAAGCTGAGGTTGGGGAAGACAAATGGCATTCTCTGCAGCCACTGGGGGCGATATGGATCTCCCAAGGAAGAACAGCTGGGCCAGCTGCCTGAAGTCTAGTAGTGACATGGCCTAATTATTTTCACTTGTGAAACGTGGCTGTGGTTAGACCTACATCTAAACAAGGCTGGTCTTTTTGTAGAAGAGGAAGGCCTGATGAGGGAGTCCATGAAAGCCATATCAGATTCCTCTGAGATCTGATGGCTATGCTGAAAGCCTCTGGGATTCCAGGCTCCCAATCAATGATCTTGGTCCCAGCTGTGATAAGACTCACCTGGAGAGCTCTGACAATCCTGATACTCAGGTGGCACCACAGACTGCCTGGGTCAGAGTCACTGAGAGTTGAACCCAGCATCCGTAGTTATTAACACTCCCAAGCAGAGGAGGGACAAGATGCCAACCACTACTAGATCATGTTTTAAAACTTTGTTACTGCTACATGTACAAATAAATTCATTTAAACTTCTTTCTTTTTCTTTTTATTTGATAAAGATACTATATGCCGGCCTTAAACTTATGATTCTCCTGCCTCAGCCTTCCAAATGCTGGAATTACCAGTGTGTCTCACCACACCCTGCTCTAAAATTTGTATCATTTTGAACCACTTTGGATATTAGAAGGAGTGAAAATAATTTGTAACGTGGTTATTTTGAGTCACTTTTGTTTTGGAGATATTTCCATGGGTAAGGGTTGGGTAATTGTTAAGAAAGAGAATTTGATAGGGAGGGTTCACTGAATTTAGAATTCAGACCATTGGTGGGATATGCTTGTGATGGTCTTTGCTCTTATGGCAAACATGGAGGGGAAGACAGAGTCTGTTGGCAGGGCCGGAAGTTGACTGGGTGTGGGGCGGGACCTCCCCAGAGTGACATGTTTTCTGGCTGTTTCTTTAGGTCCTGTGGCCGTCATCAGTGGTGAAGAGGACTCAGCCAGCCCCCTGCACCACATCAACCACGGCATCACCACACCCTCCTCTCTTGATGCCGGGCCTGACACAGTGGTCATTGGTATGACCCGCATCCCAGTCATCGAGAACCCCCAGTACTTCCGTCAGGGACACAACTGCCACAAGCCGGACACGTGTAAGTAGCAGGATGGAATCCTGTCCCTTTTGGGGAGGGAAGGGTGGTGTGGCAACAGACCATGTAGCTGGGGTTCTGGGATCTTCTGGGGTGACCTATCACCTGCCAACCTCCCACTAAGAGACCTTCCCTGTTTATCTAAGAATTTGCAGGGCAGCCGGGGCAAGGAGAGGCCCTTGGGAAGAGTCCCTGTGACAGGGAGGATCATGGGTCTGGTCTGGTTCCCTCTTTCTTCACCTGGGATCAGCGGGACCTTGGGTAGGGAGAGGTGCTCCCAGTGAGGCAGGAAACATGGAGGAGGCTGTTCTACTCTGCAGACCTGGCCTGGGTAATTATGACACATGACTCTATCCAGCCAGTAGCCCTGGAGACCACCAGAACCTCCACGCAGGACTCCATGGGAAGGGAAGGGAATGAAGGGCAAGGTCCCTTTGCATGGAAACATCTCTCCAGCTGCCCCTCCACTGCCCCACTCTGAGAACTGGATCTCAGGCCCACTGCCAGGAACCCTCACTTCACCACGACAGACCAGAGGCCCAGGGTACCTGTCTCCTGCGCACCCCTCACGCCCTCATCTCTCACCTCTTCTTGGTTCCAGCCCCTCTCTTTGCATTTCTGCTGAGCCCTGCTAGGTTCCCCCTTAGCTCCCATAGCCCCAGTGGCCCATCCCTCCATCTGGCAGGATTCCTTCTCGCTGTGTGCCCCGGTTCAGTCTGGGCCCAGCAACAACAACGCACAACCTTTCCCCTCCCACTGCTCCTGCCCAAGGGAATGACCCACTACTTCAGAGAGAGAGAGAGAGAGAGAGAGAGAGAGAGAAAGAGACAGAGAGAGAAAGAGACAGAGAGAGAGAGAGACAGAGAGAGAGAGACAGAGAAAGAGAAAGAGAGAAAGAGAGAGAGACAGAGAGAGAGAGAGAGAGAGACAGAGAGAGACAGAGAGAGAGAGAGACAGAGACAGAGAGACAGAGAGAGAGACAGAGACAGAGAGAGACACAGAGAGAGAGAGAGAGAGAGAGATTCTTTGGCCCTGGAGAGCAGAGGTGCCAGTGAGTGCCTGAGAGCTGGAAGGGGGCCTGGTGACCAGCCAGGTGTGGAGGCCTTGCCTTACAGACAGGAGCACCAGGATCCTGGGAAGCTGTGAGTCCCCATTCCTGCCCGAGGCTGCCTTTTAACGGTTCCCTCGGGTCTCAATCAGTCCCAGTGCAGGACTAGGGAGAGGTGCTTTTACTAATCCCAGGGCCTCAGCTATCTGCATGTGGGTCGCACTTTATAGCTCACATAACTATTGGCTCGTCCTATGGCAGAGTGGGCCTCTGGCTACCCCATTCATCACCCTTTGCTTCCATTACTTTGGCTCTAATTTTTAAGTGAGAAGGTTGCCACGGTGAGAGGGACTGAGCTTGAGTCAGCATCAGGTCATCATTTACCTTCCACATGGGGTGTCCTCCCAAATCCACCTCAGGGTCCGTCAGATGCTCCCTGTCTGTATCAGAGGAAGGACACCTGGGTTCTGGACCAGGGCTGTGTAAGGCAGAAAGATAAGTTGTGGGAAACAGCAAAGGGTGCTGTGCTCTTTGTCAAGCTCCTATCTCAGATTAGGCTTCTGCCCGGCCTGGCCTTCATGTGGCTGAAAGGAGATCCTTATTCTGGAGGTAGTATTTGTCTAAGCTTGGTTCATGGTGGATAAGGAATTTTCCAGGGCACCATTGGATTTGAACAGAGACCCCGCCATTGCTGTGTTAAATATAGAGTTGAGTCTCATTGTTTGACAGTCTTATTCTCCCACCCAAGTACTAACCAGGCCCGACCCTGCTCAGCTTTCGAGATCGGATGAGATCAGGTGCATTCAGGGTGGCATAGCTGTCTCCCTGTTTTTGGAGTTCCAAAAACTCACTGTGAACAATGAGTTCAAGAATGCTGAACCATTGTTCCTAGGGGAAATACAGCGTTAGGTTCCTATGAGCCTCTGATCACATCTTATCAACCAATCAGTACATAATTTTGTTGTAAGTTGTATGTGAATTTCTCTTTCAAGACACCTTATTTAGTATCAGCATTGAACTCAGTGACCCACAGCACTATAACTCATGACTGTCCACAGCTTCTGTAGCACACCTGTTCCTCTGTGAGACACATCACAGCCATCCTCTGCAGGAAACAGCAGGGGGAATTTCATAGACAGTGCTTGGGAGCCATCTTAAAGAGCAAAATCACAACACAAAGCATCAATAGACCATGAGAAAGGTAGCTGTTTAGAACGTATGAAAGGAGAATTTCAAAACAGTACAAATATATACAGTTTTACTTGCCAATAAACATAAGTATTTTTAAAGAAGAAGGAGTGTTGCCTTGTCCATCTATGCTGGAAATGTGTACACAGGGCCACTCGTGCTTTTTGCCGTTCCATGCACATCCCCACGTGATGCCAAAAGCACCTCAGGTATTGGTTTTCGAATTGCAAGTGCATCTCAATGAGCAGGCAAATGCACGGGATAGATTCTGTGCATACTGAACGCTGCCTGTATTCCTTTTAGCAGCTGTACTGGGCTCCAGGTGCAAAATATGATCTGAGCCCCATACGTGTGTCCTGTGGAGCTCCTGATTCCAGGTTTTAGCACAGCTTCTGGATAGGTTGACTCTGACACATTTTAGTATTCCTTGGGCTATCAGACTCAGTGTTCCCGTGGTAACTTGGGAGGTGTGTAGAGGACCACAGGACCCAGAAATTATCCTTGGATGTCAGGGTACAGAGCAGAGCTGAGAAGCCACCACACCAGGAGACCAGGCACAGGCAGAGCTTCCCTTCCAGTGCCCTCTGGTTAGAAGTGTGTTGGGGTCCAGACGTACTTCTGTGTAGTCTGGAGGAGGCCAGTGACAATGGAGGGGAAGCAGATGATTGACAGAGTCTTGAAGGAGGAGGGAAGCAAACAGTGTCCATCAAAAGAGAACCATGAGATCACTGTGGCTATAACAACCCTTTAATATTAGGTGAAGTAGCCTTTTCAAGGAAGCAGCACACTTGCCCTGTCAGCAGACAGAGGCTGCTCTTGTTGTTTGCAAAAAGTGTGAGGTATGGTACTCTAGATGTGCCCAGTCCTCCCTCAGCTAGCCGTGGGGACTCACACAGACAGGGGCCAGACGGAGCACCCAGGTGCCTTCAGTGGATTTACCAGCTGATACAAGACAGCAGGCCCCACCTCTGTTCATCAGTGCTTCATCAGTCCAGGGAACTAACCCACTTGGGGATCTGTGATGAGACACTGTCATATATAGTTAAAGCCACATACTCCTTGGTACATAAATGAGCAGATGCTGTGCATAAGGCCAGGGTCACTCCTTTGGAAGAATGGCAAGAATCCGGGGATTCAGAGAGGAAAAATGCTCAGTTTGTGGGCTCCAAGCCTCTCTCATCTCATTCCCTTCCTTGTCCCATTTTAAAATGTGTCACATGGGAAGGAATTTCAGCCATTTGGAGCTACCTGACTTCAGGCTTCCTCAGGCCTCTCAGCTGGGAATTAGGCACAAAGCATTTTTCTTCTTTAAGCATATGTTTGTTTATCATGAATAGTGACCAGCACGATTAGGATGCTGTTGCTCTCTTTGCTTCTCACTCTATCTACCTTCAATCTGGCTCATAGCATTTTCCTTCTCTTGCCAGGCTGCAAGGGTATTTAGGGATCACCTGGTACAGTCCTTATCAGATACCTGCATCCCAACACCTATGTTCCCAACAAGCACTCTGCATTTGACATTTTCTTTGTTCTGAATTTAGTCAGCCTTTCCAGGGTTTCTGAAAGAACTAAATGAAGATGCACTTACTTGGTCATGTGTACCCAAACTTAAGACTAATGAGGCCCTCTTCCTCATTACTTACATGATACTTTCTGATTCCAAAATGGCTTCAGGAGATGGATATGCCTTGTTACACGACTCAGGGTCCTAGACACTAGGTTAGATCCTAGAGAATGAGCCACCAAGGGACCACAGTAGGTTACCTGAGAGAAAGTTGTACATAGCAACATTGGGCCATTGGTTACCTTTGTCACTCTTGAGACAGCTCTGGGCTGCGGTAATGTGGTTCTTGGGCTGGGGCTGGATTGTTTGCTGCTGTTGTGAAAGTCATGCATTGGCTCTTTCCCACAGGCCATTTGGAAGGCTCCTTGCTTTCTTTAAGACTCTGGATTTACTGTTCATCCCCTTTCTCAAAACCCATTCTCTTGGTTGAGAAAGCAGAAGGCATCTGAGGGAGCTAAATGTGTCTCCTCCTCTGTCTCTCCTTCTGTCCTCAGGGCTTGGTATCTGCTTTTGTCCCCAGGTAGTGTTTCCACCTTCCCGGGGTCAGCATCTCCCTGCCTGCATCTCCCCAACCTGGTCAACCTGCTGCTCCTCCTGCCTATCCTCTGAGGTCATGCTGGCGTGTCCCTCTGCTCAACACAACCCTCTTGCAGTTCCTTGACCTGAAGCTCCATTTCTGTCCGGTTCAATCTTCCCAGGATCACCACCCCTGCCAACAGCTCTCCATCCTTGGTCTCTACAGAGCTGGACTATGTGTCTTTGAGTCTTTTCTACTTTAGCATCCAAGTCCCTTGTCCTGGGCTGACTTTCCCCAGTCATTTATTCTACACACTCATTGTGAGGGTTTGTCTCAAGCTCCCTGGGCACTAGAAACAATAAGGAACTGGGACACATATGGTTACTTCTCTCTCAGGTTTACAGCCAACCAGAGCTGATCCTCAAGCCCAGAGTGGTGCTCCCTGGTTCCTTGTGCCCCCTCTTGGGACCTTATATGTTCAACTCTCACCTAATGACTTCCTGGCCTTTATCTCTTCTCTCCAGATCACCAATCCCAAAAACCCTGGCTGCTACCTTAGTATACTTTCTGCGTTGATCTGATCATCCCTTCTGCTTCTCCTGGCCCCACTCAGCATCTGTCTTGGTTAATTTTCTCTCATTGCTGGGGCAAAATACCTGACGCCCAAAATGAAGGAAGGAAAGGTT